CAGCCAGCTGCTGTCCAGGTGTCATATCTCACAATTATTATTTTTCTCAGTGGTTCCTCCAGCCCATTTAGAGCCCAGGCCTCTTATTCAGCTCCGAAATCATTTCATATCTCATAATTAGCTTGGAGGAAACTGAAGAAAATCACGAAAATTGTAGCCAGGGTATTTAGTTAAAAAGTATAACTCATTATATTATTTATATGAAATTCTGTGAGATCATCATGGTGACTGAAGCATCAGCATCAGCAACATCAACACGGAATTCAGTGAGAACTTCAGGGGTGTGAGCATCATTAGCGCTATTTAATTCAGAGTCCTGAAATGAATGAATAGTTTTGTTTCTGGCGACTTAACCTTCCGCCTTGGCTAGGATGTACAACCATTTACATATGTAAAGAAGTTATGTAGCGGTGACACGAAAGCTTTTACTTAAATTTCACCGTTTATGGTTACCATATGAACGAACCCTTTTGTGTTAACCTATTGTATGCCCTTAAATTACGCAATAGATCACGTATGAGGGAGTGTCAGTGTCTATTCTATGAGCAATTATAATATTGTGACATGACCCTAAAAGCCGATATTGTAGAACCAGAGTAGATATTCATTACCAGGTAACGGCAGGGTAAGCACGTTCCCGCAACAACGAATACACGAACAACAATCAAGGTATTTTGGGGCTAGGATGGAAACGGTATTTTCTGTTGTGTCCGTCCCGAGGCTATACAGCGAGGACCCCAGGCCAGCTGATAATAATTAAGAGACTCAGTTGAGAATTGACAGTCGAAAGTTGAGTTGTGCGAAGACAAGTGAGAATGAATGGCAAAGAGAAGTTTGGCAGTTTCAGCAGAGAATTGGAAGGAGAGTTCCGGAATTGGCAGTTGACAGTGAATTGACGAGAGTTCTGTAAGGGCGGCTGCGACAAGATTAGCTGAGAGCGGAAACTGAAGAATTTCCTTCATTAGAAGCCGTTACCAAGAAACGGCTTGCTAAGATACACCAGCCTGGAAAAAGGCTTATCGGGTGCTGTAGTGAACTGTAAAGTGTGGAGATCAGTGATAGTTCGGTAATTACGTTTATTATTTCTGAGTGTTATTCGTAGGATGCGGCGTTAAACCAGCCTCGACGAGTCATTCGATAACAAATGTGACTGAAAAGGAATACGAGTACACCACACAAAAGAGACAACAAAACCTTAACCATTGGCATCCAACAATATGAAGAAGGAAGAGTTAATTCTCTATGGAAACTTAACATAATGATAGAAACACAGCGATTTGACACAGAAAATAATATAAGATTCTGGTGAAGGCTGTGCGTCACACGAATCTCGTCACAGTTTACGACGTTTTAAAAATCATTTAAAAATCTATTTTTTATTTAGTTTTAACCTAATTGTTATATTTACTCTTTAATCACATGTACGAGTATGATTCTTGTTTGAATCAATGTCTAGTCAAGTCTAGTTGATGAATTGAATATATGCAATATAGAAAGTAACCTTTTATGAACCATATATATATGTTCCCCCTCGTTGGTGTCTCCACCTTATCGTGGTGAGGGGGTTTGAGTATGCCAAGGACCCTGAGAGCTATACCAGCGGTAGCGTAGCTACTGGCAGGGCCTCCCTTGCTGGACAGGTCAAAGGGTAGGCATCAGACGAAGAGAGACACCAAAAACCAAAAACTGATGCCGGAAGCAGCGTCATCAGCAGCGACTTGAAGCACAGAACAAATGATGCTCGAGATGGTTCAAGTTCGTATAGCAACAGGCGTCACCAGAGTGGTTTGAACGGCTGTTGTACTGCGATGTGGAAAGCAAATGGAAAAACTACCACATTATCACTTTTCCTGGATAGTCTCTTTCCAAAAACAGAAGATCACATTAAGTGGAGGAACTGTTTTGGAAGAGACTGTGGACCTGTCATCTGACAGTTACTGATCAATCAATCAATATATATGTTAACGCGAGCGTTGCAGTTCGGTGGTTGAGTGTGTGAGACTTCCAGCACCTGAGGGTGGCCCTTTATGGTCGAAACATGAATGTTAATAAACAGTTGTGTTGGCTCTGGAATTTGTATATGTTGAAAGCATGGGAAGTTCAGAGTACGAAAACTTATATAACAAATAAGGCCGCGCCATAGCTCAAGCGGTTAGTCGCTGGCTTCCCACCGCGGCGGCCCGGGTTCGATCCAAGGCCTAGTGAAGTGGGATTTGTGGTGGACAAAGTGGAGCTGGGGCAGTTTTTCTCCGAGTACTTGGGTTTCCCTTGCCAATCTTCATTCCACCAATTGATCCACAATCACCCTCACCTATCATCTGGGGCTGGTACAATAGGCCAGAAGTGGCCGCAGTACAAGGGACTTGGTCCCACCCCACAAGCAATAAAAAATATATAACAAATAAAATTTCCCTTTTAATTCTCATCGGGTTTTAACATTGGCAGTTATTAATCTAAATATTCGTCTGGTCCTTAGTCGTGACAGTCCCTTCGTAAAGAAAAGTGAAAAACACATTCAGATATAGCCGGAAATGAATTCTACACACAAGCAAACACTGTGTGATGTAAATATACTTTACCAAGTTTCGTTTTTGTATTTCAGCCACTGCGTCTCTAGAAACGTTCTCTTCTGACAACCCATTGCCCGAGGCGACGACAGAAACTAAGATGATAAAAATATCACGTTGGAATGTGTCTGTTTGTGTTAGCTATTGTTTATTCTCTGACCGAAACGTCTTTCAGTGTGCATCATGCCACTGAGAACTCCGTAATGGAGACCCGGGTTCTCATCGTTCATTCAAAATTGATTCTAGTTAATTTCCAATGACGACTCAAACATCAACGTCATTGTCTGATGACGATGATGCACTCTGAAAGATATTGTCGGTTTATGGGCGTGACTAATAGAGAGGTATTGGATTGGTTAACTGGATTTATTGATCACTTTTTGTACAATTACTCATAATTACAAAGTATAATAACTCCCAATAAATGACTGCTTAAGACTCGCGCCATTTTGATCTGGTCTGATCTCTCTCTATTCTTATCTGAACTAAGGCTGAGTCCTGAGTCCTGAGTCCTGAGTCCTGAGTCCTGAGTCCTGAGTCCTGAGTCCTGAGTCCTGAGTCCTGAGTCCTGAGTCCTGAGTCCTGAGTCCTGAGTCCTGAGTCCTGAGTCCTGAGTCCTGAGTCCTGAGTCCTGAGTCCTGAGTCCTGAGTCCTGAGTCCTGAGTCCTGAGTCCTGAGTCCTGAGTCCTGAGTCCTGAGTCCTGAGTCCTGAGTCCTGAGTCCTGAGTCCTGAGTCCTGAGTCCTGAGTCCTGAGTCCTGAGTCCTGAGTCCTGAGTCCTGAGTCCTGAGTCCTGAGTCCTGAGTCCTGAGTCCTGAGTCCTGAGTCCTGAGTCCTGAGTCCTGAGTCCTGAGTCCTGAGTCCTGAGTCCTGAGTCCTGAGTCCTGAGTCCTGAGTCCTGAGTCCTGAGTCCTGAGTCCTGAGTCCTGAGTCCTGAGTCCTGAGTCCTGAGTCCTGAGTCCTGAGTCCTGAGTCCTGAGTCCTGAGTCCTGAGTCCTGAGTCCTGAGTCCTGAGTCCTGAGTCCTGAGTCCTGAGTCCTGAGTCCTGAGTCCTGAGTCCTGAGTCCTGAGTCCTGAGTCTTATGTTACGACTGACGGTCAGTCGGCCAGTCTGTCTTGGAATAAAGCACCCATCTGGGATTTACAACCACATTTTTATTGCTGTCAGACAGTTGCGGGTTTGTTGACGCGGGACGCACTCTCTGACGAGAGGACGGGTCTGTCGTTTACAATTGCTGCTGACCCTCGCCAGGTAAGTTATTCTCGCGTCTGAGTCCCGCGGGACTCGTGTCTACATTCTGCTGTCTCAGACTCGAGGCTCCCCCAACCTGGAGAGCGAGGCTAACTTATTTATATCCCCCAGAAACAAAGTGACCAAGTTAAACCACCAGGCACTGGACTCACTTTTCGTCTCCTCCTACGAATTGCAGGGCCCCACACGGGGCTGAACTAATAGTCAAAGTCAGAGTCACTTTACGACTGGCAGTTTGCCGCCAATCAGTTCGTATTGACGTCAGACCCCTTGAGGCCCACGACCAGAGATTTTTTCCAACTGAACTCTTGCGGTAATAGTCCTTACGTAACATCCTCTCTGACGAGAAGATGGGTTTGTCTCTTATTGATACGCTTGGCCTTTCGTCAAGTGTATATTTAACACATATAGCATGTTATCGAAAATTCTTCCTTTTGTTTTACACACAAGTCCTCTGTCGGTACAGGCTTTGCAGAGCAGATCATGTCTAACTTACATATCTTATGCTACAACGAAAACTTAGTCATCTGAACTGTTGTAAGCTTGACCACCGCCAAGTTTAAGCCTCTTATACTTTCTGTGTCTGGCTTCACCTTGTCCAATACCGCGAACATGTTCATTCTCATTATTTTTAGGACTTCTGCTTGTAGCATGCATGAACTATGACTCAAGTCAAAGACAAAGTCAAAGTCACATTGCGACTGACTTTCGGTCAGTCAGACAGTAAGTCTTGGTGTCGAGCCCCATCTGGGACTCATGACCAGATATTTATTACTGTTTGGCAGTTACGGTCTTCTTTTTTTGTGGGGCGCTATCTCTGACGAGAGGACGGGTCTGTCTTTTGTATATGCTGCTCGTCCTTGCCAGCGCAGTCTTTCTCGGGTCTGAGTCCCTTTGTATTCGCGACCATATTTTACTCTCTCAGATTTGAGACTTCCATTTTCACCGCCTCCTACGACTCGCAGGGTCACAGTGGAGGTATTCTACCCCGCCTCCACTCGGGCGATGAACTATAACTATCTACATTCTGATTTTATATAACGTCGGATCGGACTAACAGAAAACACCTTTCGTTTTTGTATCCAAGGAAATATCTATCACTCCATGGAAACTTGTTTCAGTGGCTTGTTCTCTTGCAATTGGTCTACATATACAAGTTCTCACGTGGTCTTCTTGTTGCAGAACCTGAAGAACCAGATCATGACTACGAACCTGTGGGTGGAGCAGTCATGGTACGATTACAAGCTGCGGTGGGAACCCAAAGAGTACGGCGGGGTGCATATGCTCCACGTGCCATCGGACCACATCTGGAGGCCAGACATCGTACTTTATAACAAGTGAGTTCTCACAGAGAGTCGGACGCACTGCTGCAATAACCATGTTACTTCCCGGACCTGCGCGCAAATACATTGCATTTTTTCAAGCTAAATAATTTATGTTACTTTCGTGAAGATAAATATAGCAAGTGCCACGTAACTTCGAACAAGGTCAAGAGTAACCTTGAATGCGCAGAAGACAAATTTCAGACAAGGGGGCGGAGGGTGTGAGAAGTGACAGGCGGCCAGTGGAAGAACGAATGTTAAGAAACTCCTCCCACCACAAGCTATGAGCAGAATTTGACTAGGAATGCGGTGCCTTGTTCGAAGTTACGTGACACTATCTCTAACTTCACGTACAATTAGTTGAGAACGACAGAAGAGTCATTTTTTGTTGCAGAGAGTTATGATACACTTAACCGTGATCATTAACAGTACTACAGATTTTAGACCAGGTTTCTTTACCCTAGAAATGTCAGCTTTATTTCCTACAATGTGTGGCGGCCATTTCATATTGGCAGAGATATTCTTCATATACACGAGTAAATAATATATACAGAATGTTTCATAAGGGTTTATACTACAAGTTCAGGTGGTGTATATATTGAAGAAAGGTCCTATGAATTTCTTTCGGATGGCTTATAAGTCATCTAAAGGTTCGCGGCGATTATATATTTAAAAAGTTATGTATTGACTTTTTGGATATTATACATCATAGAGTTTTTATTTAAAATAAAGTTTCAGAGTTTGGTATCTGCCTCTGTCCTTAGGTAAAAAACTTACTCATTTGGATGCAATCGATAGAGTAGCGTCCCTGTCTCCGGACATCAGAACCAACAAAACAAAATGTAATATAAACCAAAAAAAAAAAAAAACTCCGTCGCCTGTAGTCCACAAGCGAACTGTACCGATTACCTACCGCCGCTTGTCGGCGAAGTTAGTGCCAACTTTAGCTGATAGAGGGTGTCACGTGGTCAGCACAACGGATCCCCACGGTCGTTAATTTCGGTTTTCTAGATCGGAGACGCAATTTCCTTGAAATAGCTCCTCAATTATCCCCATGAGAGTGAGTGGACCCCGTTCCAGACCAACTACTTCTCAGAAAATCTGGTAGGCCCGGGAATCGAACCCGGAACCTCTAGATATGTAGCCAGGAACTCTGACCACTAGACACAGAGAAGGTCAAGACTTACAGATCCATGAATTGAGAACGGTTTTATAGGTGTTCGGACAGTCCCCGGCCTGTTGAGATTTCGTGCACCTTCTACACGTACAACTAGTATTTATTTTGATTACTTTTGTTTAGGTGTCGGTAAATATATTTGCTCGTATCTCGTCTAAAAGTAATCCACGGAAATTTTTCATCATCTCAGTTCCCTAAATAAGTCGTATGAATTTGACCCAATATTTTTTATTTTAATATGTAGGAAATATGAGAACTGTTTTATTTCCTAAAATAAATTTAAAATAGCCTCATGCCTGCGTCTCTCTTCGGAGGCCTGTTTCAATCTCAGGTCAGCCCATGTGGGATTTTAATCAAACAAGGACAAGTGTTTCAGTGTAACTTGTCATTTCGGTGATGGTACACACTTATTGGTCATCATCCGCGAACTGCGCGTTACGCCATATTGTTATCCTTATGTGGGATTCATCAAGTGGCTGTTTCAATTTTTAGTTATCCTCAGCCAGAAGCGATAGTTATAAATCTAGCTATTTGGTTGCTAGAAGTATCACTCATTGGTACACTTAGAGTTTTAATACGTCCAACCATTTTGGTCATCCCAGTTTCTCTAACTATTTTCAAAATTTTCCACACGTGATTCGAAATACCAATAGCTTATTTATTGGGCAAAAAGTTTAGAAAGGGTGTATGGGAGTGCTGTAATATATTGTGGCGTATTTTCTCCATGCAGGAACTGCTGTGCCACAGAAACAGCCGTTGTTAAGTAATACATGCACGTAACAATAGAACGACGGGGTTATGAAATCCGTTTCCTGGCAGCGGATTTTAACACAGGAACTAAAACAGTCACATTCCAGATATCACTGCACTATAACCTCTTTAAATCACGCGCTAACTCTTCACAGGCCTACTTCTAATTCTTCAACTACGAAATTCCCTTGGCTATCTCCTACTGAGAACTGAGATTGTAGCGCTGATTGTCTTCAAGACAACTCACCCGCATGAACCCCACGGAAAACACCGCCTTCCATTGTTAAGGAAGCGAGATTACAATTCTGTTGCCTAGCAGGAGACGTCCTATTGTTCAGCGCGTTTGCTTCTACGGGAACGTGTTTACAAACCTGTTGCCTAGCAATTGTACATGTAACAGTATTAATGGGTTTTACATTCCTATTTCCGTGTCTGCATGTACCCTGAGTAGTCTAAATATTATATAAGGATCGAAGTCATGACTTTTATCATTCTGCATATTCAATGAAGCAGCGTCCATTTCGAAGTCCTTCTGTTTTACAGATTTAATAATTTAAAACTTCACCACAGTATCGACTTATAGTGAATGTTTCCCTTCTGTTAATTATAAACTAACAAAAATAGTGATTTTAACATGCAGTTTCCGCGTACTTAAAATTTGCAAAATTCTAAAATAAGTTACTAGCTCCACGGAAAGTTCATATTTTCTCCGCAAGGCCTGGTCAGTAAATTCTGAAAACCCGAAATATATTGTCACGTATTGGGCGTATAACGCGACAAATAACTTCACGATGTATTTGATGTAGCGAATTTTATTTCACATTCGCACTTACAATCACCAAAATTACAATCTGACGATTACTGCTATCTGCAGTATCACAAATACTACACTCCAAATGCCACAGTACAACTGACTGGTTGCTGGCTAACTCGGAACTAACTCGGAGGTAGCTCGAGGACTAACTGTGAATAGCCTTCGCTGCGCCTCATGAAGCCTCGATCGGACAATACAGAAAACTGCCACGTAATAAGCACCCTTGTTGCCTGGCGCTGTGTTGCTAGCAACGCTAGCGGTAGTAACCGCTGTTACTACCGTCGTCTCTCGCAATCCTGTTTCCCCGCGCTGCCTAGCAACCCGCGGTACCCTTGGTGACGTCATCGCTGTTGACTCGCTTTGCATAGCGACCAGGATGCTAGGACTCGGCTAACTTCGGCTCACTTCGGCTTTGCTCGGCGCATC